AAGTTTATTTATTAATAAATATGATTTATTTTCTCTATGTATGGATTCGAATAAGTTTTTTTTATATATGTTTTTATTTACTTAATTCTTATATAATAAAATTTTAAAAATAAAATATATGTAATTAATTTTTTTATTCTTTATATAATCAAATTTTATTGAAATCAATTTTATATTTTTTATTGCACTCCATTAACTTCAATATATATATTTTATAATTTAATTTTTTAAATATTTTTTAATTTATGTTATACATTCTCATTCATTAAGTATGGACATGAAGTATATAAAAAAATAATATCGGAGGCATTGATTTTATTAAAAATCAACTATGCATCTATACATAATATCAACTATTTGCTATTATTGCTTTAATATTTTAAAATTAATTTTTTCAAATAAAATAATTGAAATAATATTTAGAATAACTCTCTAATAATTCAAATACAATTTTTTATACTAATATTATTCATTATTTGTAAATAACTATATATAAATCAAATGTACATATTTTAAAAAATAATATTCTCATTAGTAAAAAACTTCATTTATTAATTTTCATATAATTTTTTATATTAAATATTGTTTTATTTCTTCGTTGTAATATTATGAAAAAAATATTATGATTTTTTGTTAAATATATATTAAAATTTATTTATTATGGGTTTTTATTTAAGAATAAATGCATAAGAAAGAAGAAATCATATTTTTTTGACTTCAAAATTTATTCAAAACATATATATATATATATAAAATTTTGATTAAAAATTATAAAATTAGATAAAATCTTATTTTTTATATTTAATTTAATATATTTTAATTAACTCGACAATATAGTATATGTTATCAAATTAAAATAAATATGTTTAGTTCGATCTCGTCCCATAACGTAGAAATCCAAATTATTCATATGCTTAAACTTCTCATTCACTTACTCTTCGTATGCATAAAATTACTATTTACTTGATGGCAATTTAAGAAATTTTTTTTTGTGTTTTTGAGCATTAATATGCAAATTTAACATTTTTTTCTTATTTTCGTCCCTCAAGTTATGACATTTATTTTCAATCCTCGGTTTTCATTTTTTCTTCATTTCCGGGCAAAGCATATATATATAATTAACATATACTTCAGTTTATATTACTCTTATTATTTAAATTTATTATTTTTTATTAAAATTCTCATCTAATTAATATTTTTTATATAAAATTTTATTTACTAATAAATATAATTTATTTTTCTCTATGTTTGAATTTTAGAATAAAATTTTAAAACATGATTTTTTTTAAAAAAATAAATTCGTATAATATATATCATGAATTCTTAGAATTTCTAAAAGATAGTTGCATGTATATAAATATATAATTATTTTATTATAAAAGGTTAAAAGTGTATTTGAAATAATTTATCTCAATTCACTAGGTATGGTCAAGATGTATAAAAAGTTATTGAATCATTATTTTTATTAAAAAATAACTATATATCTTCCAACATAATACAAATTATTTACTATGATTTTTTTTTTTAACATTATAGAACCAATTTATTTGTAATAAAATAATTAAAATAATTTTTTAAAGGAACCAATCAATTATTCAAATACGAGTTTTTTATGCTAATGTTATTGATTATTATTTTGTAAATAAATATATAAAGATCAAATGCATATACTTTAAAAAAATAATCTTATCATCAACATTAAATAAAAATAAAATTTTATTTTTTCATTAGTTAATTTTTATGCAAGTCTATACATTAATTGTAACTTTATTTTTTTGGATATATTCTTATTAAAAAATACATATTTTTAAAGTATTTTTTTTGAATTCTTAATTAATGTTTTATGGTTTAAATTATTACAAGTTTTTATTTAAGAATCCCTAAATAAAAAAGAATAAATCATTTTTTAAAGCATAAATTCTATGAAAAACGCACAAAAAAGTACTAATTAAATAAAAAATTAATAAAAAATTATAAAATTTTGAAATGATTTTATTCTATCCGTCCGCAATGTTACGCGAGATAATTTAAAAAATTAATTTCCTCATGAGTATTAAATAATTTTTTTCATTTGTTAATTTTTATAAAAATCTATCCATTAATTATAACTTTATATTTTGCAATACAATATTATAAAAAATATGTTTAATTTTTTTAACTCTCGATTAATATTTTAGTTAAAATTATTATAATTTTTTATTTTAAAAGCAATCTATAAAAAAGAATGGTATATGTTTTTTTTAAAAAAACAAAAAATTTATGAAAAATATTAAAAAAAATAACTAAATAAAAAATTATAAAATTATTTACGAGTAGTATAGGTAACCAACTAATTTTGTAACAAGAGTAATTGGTGGCTATTGTAGATCTTTTTTTTTTTTTTTTTTGTTGGTTGATAATTAATGATGTTCATTAATAACAACAATTATGCTATACAGAGGGCCTAACTATACAAGACATCTAACCTAACACCACTTGAAGTCCCAGAGGCCAAATCAGTAGGCCGAAGAGCAAATTATCAAAACCCAAAACAGCTCAACCAAACAAAAGACATGTTGTGCCTGAAAAACGTTGGCTGTGAAAACGCTGCCACTTGTTCCAGCGGGCCCTTTGGAGAATTTCCCGAGCAAAGTGCGATTAGGTCTACAGTAGCTAGGTGCTTTCAAATCAGGTCAGGTCGTGGGTACCTAATCTTCAAATATGGACTGACATTTTCCGCAGGACTGGTATTCGCCAGCTGTCCCTATTTCCATTCCTATGAAGACCTGCAGAAGAAGACAGGAGTCCAATGTGGATCCAGTGATTACATTGAATAAGCACAGCTATTTGCTACACCATCATTTTGAAGCAGTAGAATTTTCAGCTACCAAGTATTTATGTCATTCAAGCAAGTTTTTCCCGTAAAAGTAACTAAGGAGTTAATATTACATGCAAATGGGGCTTCTTTTACCATGGGAGGGAACTATGAGACGTAGAGTTCAAATTTCTTCATGAGGAGGCACACAAAGGTCCAAACTCAACAAGACAGTCTCAGTTATTTTTGGTGCACTGTTGTCTCATGGTTCATCATCTTAGATTTCACAAATTTCACTGATGAGGAAAAGGAAAGTCACTTTATGTTTGGACTTAGCACTGATTCTTATTTGTTGCAAATCATAGTGGGTTTCTTATGTCTGTCTATTGTTTGCACTTTGCAGGCGTGCATGCCATTAAACATGGATCCAACAATTTTTTCTCTTGTTTTTCATTATATCAAGTATTCATACATTTCATAGTGCTGCTAATGGTATAATATTGGACAAACGTTTTTGAATTTATGTTAAAGAAAAACATTTTGTTGGATTCAACCCACTTAATCATACCCAATTGTTCTACTCGACTCTCCTCATCTTATTCTCATTTTCTAACTCTTCAAAGCCTCCAATTAATAAACACGTGAATAATTGCCTAACCCACACAACTTTTTCAATGCACTCAATTAATATCATCAATTTTGAAATGCTAGAAAATTGAGATCGAACAATTTCAAAAAAAAATTGACTTAGTTGTTATCTTAGGTGGAAGAAATTAGTCCAAAAATTTAATTTCCCTACCTCTATTCCTAGACATGCAAGATGTTTTCTTTGGAACCAAACATTCATATCTAGCTCATGATATATTATGGAAAAAAAAAATTCGATATTTAGCTTTCCAAATTCCAATCCAAGCGAAAGCTCACAATTTTGCAGCTTCTCAATGCATGTAATGCTCCCCAAATGGCAAATGCTGATGAATGGTACCAAACTTGAGCTCAAGGATATTGTTGGTCGCCTCCTATTATACTTAATTCCAGTTCTACCCTGTCCCTCTCATTTTTGAATTTTTGAAAGCGGACCCTACACCCGATCCCAGACAAAACGAATAAAACCGTTAATGTCAAATTTCGTAAATTTTGTGTACTCACAAGGGCAATTCGACCACCAGCCGAAATTTCAGACTTCTAGACAGTAATCTCGACCCCCGATAAACACTTGCCCCTCTGTTTGAAGACAAAAACTTAATTCACCTCAGCATCAAATTCCTCATCTTACCCTTCCTCTCAATTCAAATTTCACTCACCACTCAAAACCCAACTTCAGCCATTCTCCCAAATCACTAGGGACAAAATTGTCTAGTCAGTTTCACTCACTTTATCCAAGAATTGATGTATTTATTCATTATATAAACTTCCGTTCCATAATATTCAAATTTTAGGAGTGTGAGCAACATTATTTCTAAATTTTTTTTTAAACATTTATTTAATAAAAATATTTATGTTAAATAATAATAAAAAAATTTATGCCTCATCTTTTCATAGAGTTTATAACCGACCTCATATTAAATAAAAAATTAAGATATCCTTTATTTATTTGTTACTTTTAAAATCATATAAAAATATTTGATATTTTTATTGAGTATGTGTTCGTGAGAGAATGTTGCTAGCAATATCTTCAAATTTTGAGTCGCTGCAAAACATAACCCAAAAAAAAAAAAAAAAAAAAACTCCTCAGAATCTCATCTTCTTCTGCCATTTGACTGTACTCTATGCTTCAAATGTTGTATCCTAGTTTTCTTTTTGTTTTTATTCTTTTCTTCCTATTTAATAATTAAGGCATTCTTTAGCCGGTTTTTATACAATGAGAATCCGAGACTAAATTCATCTTTCCTTTTCTAATCCAGATTTTAGCTGTTTTTCTTTACATTTGAACCTAAATGATAATAGAATCAGGAGCAAAACCCACCTACCTCAGCGGTTTATTTTTCTTTTATTTTTGACAACTAAATAAAATAAATTAATAAAGAAAGTATTTATTTGCCTGCTTATTGCATTACATGCTACAGTAGTGAGAGGTTCAGCAAGCGAGAGTTCTCCCAACGGCATCGAAGCCGTTTCTCTCCTCTCCTCAACCATAACGGTTATAGAGAGAGAAACTGAGACATTCTTTTACCAGGAGAAGAAAGTGTCTTAGAGAGATATGGAGATGGATGATGAAATGGAGGTGGAGTTTATGGTGTTTGAAGCGCGTAAAGTTGATCTTGATTACGAGTTTGATGCTGCAAAGTACTTCGATTTCACTCGCGACGAGTCAATCGCGGAGGCGCGTGAATCTGAGCGGTGGTTTGATGCGGCGTCGAGTTATCCTCCGTCTCGTAAGTGTCTAAAGCCCTAATTTTCTTATTTTTGGTGTTGTTTGATTGATTATTGAAATTTTGAGCTCTTAACGACTATCATCAAGCCTTCTGTACTGATTTTGAGGTTATCTCTGTTGCTTTTTGGTTAATTATGAGCTTTATTTGGCTTCAATTTCGTTGAAGTTTCCTCTGTTTAGTGCTTTGAATGTGTGGTGATGATTTTTTTTTTTTAATTGGTTTCCTTTTTGTGTTTATGTTTCAGCATTTGTGGCAAAGTTCGTGTTGGGAGAAGACAGTCTGCTGGAGAATGTTAATACCTCTCCAAAATCTAAAGATGAGGAAAATAGGGCCACTCTGCTTAGTGATGACATGGGACCAGAAGTTTCTGCAGTAGAGGTGGACGATAGAGGTACTAATGATTGTGCTTGTGTAGAAAGTATGCATGCCCTTAATCTTTTACTTAATTAAAGCAGATATTATATCATTATTACAAGAGCTGGAAATAAACCTAGCTGGGCCTATCTCATTTTCTTTTCAAGATGGACTTGGTGAAAAGTATTTCTGTCAGAATTTTTTCTCAAGTTTGAAACGGGCTAATTATGATTAAATATATAGAGCTCCGGATTTAATCAGGCAGTTCAATTGAGCACTAGCTCCTAATTTAAACTTTTAGCTATCCCGTCTATAGTAAAAATTATCCAGAAGTTGTTTTTAGCGACAGGTGGATGTAACGAGTCATTTTATTTTTATAGAATGTGAACGAACATACAGAGGGATCTTCTCCAACATACAAAGTGGCAACCTGCAAAAAGTTTCAAATCAACGAGTAGAATTAGCAACAGGTCACTAATTTAAATATACATCATGTTTTCCTATCATATTTATTACCATTCTAATTGTTGCTTTCTCAAAAGTTTGTTTATTTGTACAGTTTGAATCACTATTTTTTTTTTAAAAAAAAGCTGAAATCAATCACCTATAAGATTTGTGTAATCTGCATAAGTGATGATTTGACCATATCTCTCTTATGGTTCTCTTCCCAACAATACTTTGCAGGATCAACTTTTTACCATCAGAAATCTACTGATAAATCAAAACCCAAGGAGAAATCCTCTGTCAAGCCCACATTTCCCAGGAGTTCAACTTTGATGAAACCTACAGCCAGTCAGTTGGCTAAGCAAAATCAGCCCCCTCTCGGTGGTTCCAGGTTATTCTCACAAAATTCTTATTTACTTGTGGTCAAAGACAGTCAAAACAACTTTTCTCTTTACTTCTTATACTGATGAAGAAATATGCTTTTGAGTATTTCAAGGCCCCTCATTCTTATTTTATGGATTTGTCCAATAAAGCTACAACTTGAAACTTGTCTTCAGTCCTTTTCTTATGCATGGTGGCTTATATGCCTCGTGATTTTGGTTAGGTGGTCCATTCAATTTCAAAGCACAACATTGGCAAACATGCGGATTGTTGTGTTTAGTAAATACCCTAGCATTCATGTGCTTTTAGGAAGAATATGTAATGCTCTGTGCACTTATGCCAGAGGCAATTACGATATAGCAACTCACAGGAAGCTAAAATTTGAGATCTTTCAGTCTATAATACAGTCACTTTCTAATATTACATCTCCCTAATTTTTAGATTTCAGACACTGCTGGGTCAAACAGAGAGAAGCTTATGCAATTCTTCTGCAATGGAAAGTCATTCTGCCAAGAGGCAGAAACTGGAAGGAGGTCACTTACGGAAGGTACACAGCTTTTGTGAATCTATCTTCTTACTTGTTCCTTTTGCTTGCATTTTGGAGAACTTGTCATGAAGTATCTGTGCTGATCAACAATAGATTTTTGATTGACACGCATTGAAAAAAAAAAAAAAGGAACATTTTTTTATTGATGCAAGGGTCTTGACCATGAGGTCGCAGGCAGACCAGTAATTGCCACATTGATGCATGTTATTGGGAATGTTCCCTCAATTGTTTTGCCAGGTCCTGCTTTCTCATGTTCCATTATCAAATTAGAAGAGTTGATTTGGAAGTCTTAATGACCAACCTGGCTTGACATTTAAGAGCTCATTTGTATTAATGACCGACCTAGCTTGACATTTGGCAGCTCATGTTAGTGTATTCTGAATTGTGAGGGAAATTCATCTTTAAATTTAGTGCAGAGGTCCTAAACTAGTGCTTAGTATTATTTTGTTTTCCTTTTTAGAAATATTTACTAGTCCATTTGCATGTTCTGCATAACAGATTGGCGATGGAAAGCAGAAAACAGATTTCATCCACAAGAAATCTGAAAAGGTAAATGCTTGATGCTTGACTTGCACCTTAAGTTACATTTCATATGCATTGAATATTTGATCAATCATCTCCAATCTTTCACACCTCCAACTAAAAACAAAATGATTTTTCAGTTGACCTGAGCTAATTTATGTTGTAATCATCCCTCAGTAATGTTAGAAACATAATCCTAAACCCCAAGGTATACTTCCAAAAATTTTATGCAAACTCTGGACCAATATATATGCTCTCTACCATTGTTTCATAAAAAAATTTATAATCTTAACTTGTATTAGCATAAAATGGATAGGAAAGCTTTGATTTTGACCAATAGTCATGATTCATGAACTATTAAGCATACATCTTTCATGTAAGATCTTCTGCGATATGCTCTGATATGTATATAAAAGGAAAACCTATAATCATCAGAGCAATGAGGGCGAAAAAGAGATGAAGTTAAGACCTTTTGGAATTGGAGAGAGGATTGTATAATTCAATCTACATAGTGGGATGAAATCATTAATAGAAGTTACCAATTATTTTGACATGGTCTTGCAGGTTGGTATTATTGATAAAATCTCCTTTCATACAAAACTAAGGCTCACTGTTCCGCGAGAGCCTGACCTTGAAACAGCACAAAGGGCACAAAGGATGAGGTTTGTGCTTCTGTTCTAAATTCTGAGGTCAAGGTGTTATCTTTAACACGATAACTAAATAATTGACTTGTTTACGAGTCAGGTCCAAAGATAGTACAGAACAGCAACAGATGACAGTGCCTGCACGGAGATTCAAAGCACGCCCACTGAACCGAAAGGTGAGTGTACAACTTATATAATTTGAGATGTTGTATATACAACTTTTTTTTGTTTTCTCAAAAACTATATATGTTATTTTGTTTTGCAGATCCTTGATGCTCCTTCGTTGCCTCTTCCAAAGAAGAGTACTCCAAAGTTGCCTGAGTTTCAAGTAAGTGCTCAAACTGGTTTCTTCCTGTTTCTATTTCTGTCTACAATAAGTGGTGCAGTGCTCAGAATATGGGTTCTGCACCAACTATAGAGATATACTTGTTCAGAAGAAGAAGCCTTTGTTCAGTATTTGGAGTTGTGAAATACTTGTTTCATTGCTTATCAGGAATTTCACCTGAAGACATTAGAGAGGGCAATGCAGCACACTTCAGTTTCATCTTCCTTATTTCAGTGCAATGATTCGGATAAGGTTTATATAGATCCCTTGAAATCATGATTAATATTCCAACTGAAAACAGTCTTCATCATTGGTTCAAATCTTGTGGATAATATGATGAGAACGATTTTTGGTGGTATACGTGGTATACTCTGTCTTAGTAGTTGTTGTAATCATTATCTTTGTCGTAATTAAAAGGCTGAAGTGCTATTTCGCAGGGGCTGGACAAACCTAGTACAATTTGTCTTGCAGAAAGAGTGAAGACAGAATCCAGAAGGTAATAGTAGGAGGAAAAGGTGATGCTCAATTTTCATTTGATGTTCATTAACCATAAGTGCTTACTTCCAATTTGCTCCGTTGCTCAGACCAACCACCATGGATCCTTCAAAGCAGGATGGATGTAGTGCAACACATATATTCAAAGCTCGCCCTCTGAATAAGAAGGTAATAGATAAATTAGTGTAGATCTTATGCTCTAAAGGTTGTGTTAGCAATTACTAAATGTGAATCTGCTTATTTTTTGAATGAAGATCTTCTCAAGTAGAGGAGAAATGGGTGTTTTTCGAAATAGCAAGCGGGAAACCACAGTGCCAATGGTAATCCATCGATGGCTCTAGTTGCTAATATATGTACTGAACAACTGATTAGTTATGCAGGATCATTTGAGACAATATTGTATGTTAATTACAGGAATTTAATTTTCATACGGAGAAGAGGTTTCAACATAATCCACCCATAGATCTTTTCAGTAAGGTAACCCCCTTACATTTGGAGCTCGTAGTTAAAAGAATTCATTATGCTATCTCCTGGTTGAGGGATGCGCACCAATTTATTTCCTGTTGTAGTGCTCATTGTTGTTATCTTAGCCTTTGCTCTCTATATTTTCCAAAACGCTCACAATTTTTTCCCCTGCAAATGCTAGCTCTCCCTGTCAAGTGAACTTCAACCAAATAACAGATCTCAATTGCAATTTCCTCAACCAGGCTATATATCTATGAAGGTTCTTGTTGTTCTTTCTAAATTCTTTATCATAGCAAACACGAATATATCATTATTTCAATTCTACTTTGCTTTAATATCTCTAATTGTTTCTTTGGCATAAGGGCTCAAAAGAAAATAGATTGAATCCTTTGCAAACAGAGCAGAAGGTAAGCTTGGCACCTGTTAGGAACCATCTCTGTGCTATATTATTTTCATTGTGTTCCAGCTATAAACTATATCTTGTCTTCTTTTAGATGGTGCATTTGGTGAAAGAAAGGCAATCTATGTTTGATGGAAAGCAGCAGATTCAATATGGGAGCAATGTGGGCACCAATGAAGTCGGAAACCAATTGAGTAGGAGGTATGTCGATAGAGATCAGTAATTTTTCCTCAATTCCATTTCCACTAATAATTTTATTTTGAATGTCAATAGGAGCTTGGGCATCCGGTGAGATTTGAGAATTACAGGGAGTGGGAGTATGATGGGTAAACACTTGAACAAAAATCATCAACCTTTATGTTATACAGAGAAACCACCATGCAAGTCCGTATCATTTGAAATCAATTGTGGAAGAAACGGATCTCACGCATTAATGTAAAGCTAACCACCTTCTCCTAGAGTTTTGTAGGCTTGTCCCCAATCCCAATAAAAATTGTTACATGGCCGGCGTTGTACAGCAATCAAGGCCTTACTATACACCACCTCACTTTTCTGTAGCATTAACAACACTTGTAATGGTTAGTTGAAAATACAGAATACTGTTGATAGTGCTGTTAGAGGTAATTCTTACTTGTAGTTCTTCTATTTTCGGCTCACTGTCATATGATGACATAGTGAAAAATGACCAAATCCACTTTAAGGGAAAGCCTTACTTTAGCGTCAGTCATAACACATAATGAATTTACTGTACTTCAATAAGAACCCGTTTCTTTCTATTTAGGGCAAATGTCAAATATACCGTCAAGCTATTAGAGTATCAACAATTTTGTACTAAAATTATCCTTGGTATCAATTTTATCCTCAATTTTGTTTTTAATTGATTCAAACAAAAGTTTTTAATTGAGAAATTAAAATAGTTTATTAATAAAACTGACGAAAAATATAGTCTAGATGTAAAATTGATAATAATACTTAAATAGTTTGGTGGTATATTTGATGTTTGTCTTTCAATTTACTTGGGATTCAGTAATCCGTTTCATTCTCTCCGCCAAAATCCTTGTTTGCTGAATTGTGCTTGGCTAGGGCCTGCTTTGTCCATCGCCTTATATCATAGGCTTTCTTGAAGGGTTTCCTTTCCTTGACAAGTCTTCTCTTTGTTATGGCGATGGCAAGATCATTGGGAAACAAGGTGCGCCAAATAAAAGCATGCAGAAGGGTGGATACAAACAATACTGACACCATCGTCGATGACATGAAAGCAAGAGCCAGTGCAAGGCCCCTGCTTAGAACACCAGGGACATTCTCTGCATACTTGATTGTTGCCACTGATGCTGTCGTCATAGGAAAGGTGTAAGACCACCATGCCACTGAAAACCTGTGAGGTTACAAATGACAAATAACAAGTTAGGCTAGGCTTCTAATTAATTGGAAACCTGGAAAGAAATTTTAACATAGGGGTAGTCTTACCTGAAACCTGTGAAGAAGTTGATACGTACAACCAAGGAAACATAGAGAAACAGTGCAATGAAATAGCATGTCCTAGACAGCCCATCAAAATCGCCATATATAGCTTCCCAAGCAATGCTTGCAGCAGATGGGGCTGCAATGAACATAGAGTACACAGGATGTAGCTCCTTAGGCAATGCTTCGCTTGTTGGCAATCTCTGATACAATGTGACAAACACCACAAGATAATGTGCAAAGCCTACTGCCCACAAGAACTTAGCTGCTTCCTTCCACCCAACTTTAGAGGCTAAAATTGCCCCAACAAAATTTCCAACCACGGAGAGATGAGAAGAGGGATTAGCTACCTTGCAAAGGCGCCTCTTTCCACCGGAGAGCCATTGGCCATAAATCTTGAGCTCAAGGAAGAAGTAAGGTCCCATGAAGGTGCACCAAAGTGCAGGGTGCAATTTTTCAGGTGCCAGCATGGGGGGTACACTAATGGCTAGGAACATACACACAACCCATGGAGCAAAGAAGAAGTTAACTCGGATAGGGTGAAAATACTCTCTCTTGACAGCTTCAAAGTAGAATATGCATTTCAGAATGTAGGTGAAGGAAACTGAAATTAGGACTGCAAGAGCTAAGAGCCAGAGAGCAAGGTTGATGAATGGTGTAATGTGGAGAAATTGGGTAGCTGGACTTGCTGCAAGTGCACGCCATAAGACGGCTTGACTACTGAGGCCAAGACAAATACCAAAGCAACCAATTGGAAATCGGAGGAGAAAAGGCCATTTCTCATCTTTGGGAAGGAGAATGTCCTCGAAGTCCTGCAGAACAAAACACAGACAACATGCAGTTTAGTTTACCTAAACAAATTTCAATCAAAGCAAGTAAATTATAAAATTACCCATATTTATTTATTTATTTATTTTAACTTATAGAATCAACCTTAATTAGATCTCTAATTTATTATTATTATTTTTTTATCTCAAATAGATCCATATATCAACCTGATTTTATTTATTTTTTATCGTTGGCATCCAAAACCATTGAAAGCCTTGAAATTCTTCCTTTTGAATCTTGAGAAATTCACGTGATCCATACCAAACTATATCAAGAAACATAAAACCATAATGTTTATTTACACTCTATCACTTGACTTGATTGGTAGGAATTCTAGATGAGTTTCAAGCGATTACTTAATAGTTATGCTAAATGTAAGAAATTGATTGACATGTTGAGGACTTAATCAATATGAAAAATAAATTGGAAACTTAATCGAGATTATCTCTACAAGCTGGGGCCTTTTTGAGGTTTGCCCAAAAGCGTTAATGTAACTATAAATTTGTAAGAAAATTGATTTTTGTAGGATTGGAACCAAGGGAAAGATAACGAACAAGGATACAATCTACAATACAATTATGGGAGATCATTAAGATACAAAGTTGTTGAAATTAATATGAATTTAAATCCGAGGCAAGCATTACCTTGACTTGGTCTAGCTCAGGTCCTCTAAGAGCAGCAAAGTATCTTCCAGCAGGAACAGTATTATGAACAGATTCATCAAGCCCATTATCAGCATCAACTCTCTGGGACTCCATCTCTCTCTCCTTCCTTGAAGGCAACAAAGAATTCTGCTTACTGAGAGTTGATTTAGTCTTGAAGATACTAAAATCTCCTTTCCTTGCTTCCCCATTAACCCTATTAACAGAATCGAATCCACCAAAACTACGTCCACTTCTTGGAAGAACCCTTCTTTCATCTTTAGCCTTGGTTTCTCTATTAAGTGCTGAAAAGCCTGTCTCTAGCGAAACCTGCCTGCTAAGATTCCTATTATAAGGTCTCTTTGCCTCTCGAACTTTAAACTGTCTATTTGGTCCCTTTCTTGCATTTTCTGCCATTCTCGTCATTCCTGCCCCTTCTTCTTCTTCTTCTTCTTCTTCCTCTGGCAATACTTCATGGATATCTATAAAATGAGTCCCAAGAGTACTTGGAGAAGTTGGTCTTGTTCTCTTCTCCATTTTGCTTCCTCTTAAGGCTTATTTTTTTTTTCCCAAAAAGGAAACCAAAAAAAAAAAAAAACAAGTTCTAATGTTTGGAATTGGAGCTAACTAGTTTGTGTTTGTTTTTTATACCCTTTTCTTTATGGAAATTTGCCTGCTCCTTTGCATTTATAAATGTATATAAGAGACATCACGAGAAAATTTAAGCGTTGGAAAGGAAGGTCCGTAGCTGCAGCTTGCTAATTTGGTGGTGGTTATTTGGTAGATGAAATGGAGACCTATACTTTCTTGAATAAAAGTGGCTCTTACGAGGGATTTCTCGTGATGCAAAACTTGGTATAACATTTTGTGGCTTAGAAAGCTTATAATATAGTATCATCGTTAGATTTCAATCCAACTTAGTGCGCAGAGAAAGGAATTGTTTCCAACATTTCACGGGTTCTAAGGAAGATTGATTCGAGGAACTGTGGAAATTTAATTTTGCTTGAATCAGCAACAACTTGCTTACATGAGAGAGAGAAAAGAAATCTAGCTTCACTTCTTGCATGCATTTGCGGCTGTTAGGAAATGAAAGAGACCTTTCCGCCGCTACAAGACTAGTCTATCAACCATTAAAAATTTAGTGTTATATATATATATATATATATAACAGCGTTTTCAGATTTTCTTGAGAAGTTTCTTGTCTTGATAATTAAATGGGACGGACTGCTGGTTTAATGATTCCAGAACTTAAATCCCGACGTCAAATAAAGGTATAGCCTACTAAAGTAAGGCCCAAAACTTCATTTCCACTTCAGGCCTATTTACTAGATCATCTGGGTCTGGATATTGAAATTAGATGTCATGAAATGGGCTAATTATCCAATTCCCAATTACTTCACCGATTTTAATTTTGACTCACGGTCACTGCAAAGACAACAAAGTTCGGACAGACATGTTAGAAAATGCAGAAGGCAGTTTGACCCGAAAAAGAAAACGAGAAGCAAAAGGCAGGAGGTTTTCTTGCTTATTTGTCTTTCCCTTGTTACATACCATATATATATATATATAGTAGTACATCATTTTCGATCTCTTGCTTCAAGAAAATTCCAAAACCATAAATTCAATCTTCCACATTTGGCAGGCAAAAAGTCCATCACGTCCAAGCACCAAGTCTGCGTTGGTCACGTTTGTTGAATAAGTCTTCCGTAACAAACAAAATCTGAATGGCCTCTAGCAAAGCAAACTACTGTGGAATATGGATTAATCCATTAAAAAAAAAATACAAGTGGAACTTACCAGGCAATTTTGTTGCCAATGTTACAATTCAAGAATTTTATAAAGCCAATGCCGCCTGTTGCCGGACCAGGTGCACGTTACACGACTTAGATCTCACTATTTTCTCCCCCTTGAGAGACTCTATAAATAGGCAGCAATATTTGCACTCTTTCCAACAATCAAATTGCATTACAAAAACATCCCATCGACATCAATCTAGAAAAGAAAAGAGAGAGAATTGCTTAACTGGAAAAAATTTCAATAATGGCTTCTTCCAGGCTGCTCATGATCATTGCCATTGTTGCAGTCTTTGTTCCTTCAATTTTGGCAGCAGAACATATGGTTGGTGACAAGACAGGTTGGACCCCAGGCTTTGATTATCAAACTTGGGCTCACGGAAAAGCATTTCTCGTGGGAGACACACTTGGTAAGTTGACTCTCTTTAAACAAATATAGCATGTGTAATTACTACAGCGTTAGATAGGAATGTCTTTTTTTGTTGTTGTTTTGATAATTTGATTTCTTGGTGCAGTTTTCAAGTATACACCAGGAGAACACAATGTATTGAGAGTTAATGGAACTGGATTCCAAGAGTGCAAGGCAGCAAATGATACTGTGCCCTTATCTACAGGAAATGATGTGATTCCACTATCAACTCCCGGAAGGAAATGGTACATTTGTGGTGTGGCCAAACATTGTGAGTCTGGGAACCAGAAACTTTTCATAACTGTGTTGCCTCAATCGGCATCTCCTGCAACATCGCCTTCTCCCACACCAACTGGCACCTCACCATCCGGAGCAGCAGGCAACTTTGCTTCTAGATACTATGGGTTTATTGTGGCCATTGTGGGCATTTTGGGATGATCATGTTTTAATTTTTATAATGATGTTGTCCAGGGATTGTTATTCTTTTCTAATCTTTTATTGTTTGTATTCCCCCCTTTTTTTTTTTTTTTTTTTTTTTTTTTTTTTTTTTTTGAGGTGTTGGTGTGTAAGCTAATTTTATTTCAGTAATATACGAGTCATTTGTGCTCTTTAACATCACCCTTAAAATGTGGCTTCAGAAACATCAGTTAAGATAAGAAACGCAAGGGCCTTATTATCCATACCCTTTAGTACTTGCCCCTTGCTTGTTGAAAAGACTCACTTTGGACCCTTTGTGCTAAAGTAAACAGGACAGGGCCCTTGAGTTCAAGAGCTCAACAACACGTTGTTATGGTTTCAGTCTATACTGATTTTAGTATAATCTATACAAAAAATAAATAATTCAAGTAAAAAAATAAAAATAAAAATCAAAGTGTATGTTTGTGCTTGTGTGACATTAAAAGAAAAGAAAGGTTTCTTTTCTTATTTTGTCTAGTGATAGTCAACACTTATCAAAGAAAGCTTAGGTTTTTTTTTTTTTTTTTTTTTTTTTTTTTTTTTTAACAAGAAGATTTAACACATCCTTGGTGTAGGTGAGATTGACTTATCTCTAAAGCTTTAATTAATACCATGAAAGTGGGGATGGCAATTGAACCCGACCCAACCTAGCCCCGCCTCGCCCCGCCCCGCATCTTTTTTGGGCGGGGATGGGATTTGGCCGCCTTGCTCCATTTTGCCCCTTGTATACTCGACTTAATCACTTTTGTCTCATGTTTTTTCTTTGATATCATCCTTTCTTTTGCATCCATCTAGGCTATGTCTTGACAACTTATCTTTAGATTTATTGACTATATTTTAGGCAAGAAGTTTATAATTCTTCAAGCAAAGTAATTAATTTCTTAGGTGATATGGTTTGCAAAAAAAAAAAAAAAAAAAAAGGATAATTTTTGCCCGGTTTGCCCCGTAGGGATCCCCATCACCATTTGGGATGGGGATGGGATGAAACATTCCGCCCCATTCGGGGAACAAGGCGAGGATGGGGATGGCGATCCCCGCCTCGCCCCGCCCTATTGCCATCCCTACATGAAAGATTGATTTTCCTTGAGAATCCTTCCTCCCCTTTTTCCTTCAAACTTTTAGCCCAATCCTCAATTTTTCCTCTTTGGGATTTTTGATTTTCTAACTTGAATTCTATGCTTAATAGGATGTTTTTGGGCTATTAAAAGAGTTTAGGTAAGATTTGAGGTGGAAGTCTATGGAAATTTTGTAAGAATTTCTCTTATGTTTTGCTATTTTTCTAACATTTTTCCTGTTTCTCTTCCATCCATATTTATAGGTAAGCTTGGGTGGACTTTCTCCACGTTTGACTTGATCTCCACCATTCGTTTGGTTTGATCCTAGCCCTTGATTTTACTTTCAACCTAAGCCTTTCATTTGTTTTAAATCTTAACCATTCATGCTACCTCGAGACTTTAACTTTCCATCTAAGCCATCTAACCTAATCGCCTTCCTCCATTTCGTAAGTTAATTAATATATCTAATAATTGAAGGAAAATGGCGGTAAAAAGGGACAGAAAATCTCTCCCAAATTTTAGTCCCTTAATTTAGTAAACTTTCCTACAATTACTCTTTTGTAAGTCCTTCAATTATTTAATTGATTCATTTGGGCCCTTCCTTTAATAATTTTTTTAACAACAATTCATGTCCTATAGTTCATTGCTAATTTAATTTGAAAGTTCAAATATTTAATTTTATACAATTAGGTCCTTGATTCTATAGAATATATATTATACTTTTCCAATAATTAATTTCTTTTCATAATAAATTCAAAAACCTTCTATAAGAATTTATTCATCATTCATATAATTTTTATATGCATGTCTAAGCCCTCAAATTAATTATTTTGTGTAAAAATGAACTTATTTTTACTATAATATTCCTTAAGCATAAAAAAATTCATCTAAGTTCATGGAATATTCCTACACCTCCTTAACGATTTTTCTATGCCCATTGGATAATTTTGAAACACATTTAAAATACTCAAAATAATTAATTTGCCTAAAAATTACTATTCATATATTGAAAAGATCAAATAAAATATTCACTACACTTAAAAAAATTCACCCAATGGCTTAGAATAATCTAGCATCCCTCTAATGAATATTCTAACATAATATTTTTCATGAACATTTAAAATGCCCAAGAAAATTATTTTGCATGAAAAGTTACTATTTATGCATTGAAAAACCCATAAAATATTCTCTAGGCATAGGAAAATTATCCTAAGTCCATCGAATATTCTAGCATCCTCATGGCAGCAATCCTATGCCCATAGGATATTTTCATACATCCATAATATATTTTTTATTCATTTACTAATGGGTTCGGGATATTACATCCTCCCCTCTTTATAAAATTTTGTCCTTAAAATTTCTAGTTAAAGAACTCGGGATATCGGGTTTGCATCTCTACTTCTTCTTTCCCGAGTTGCTTCTATTAGTGTTGGTGTCCAAAATCCAACCATGTTTAGATGGGCTCAAGTTAATATATTATTGCATCATTTATTTTAATAAAGAAGTCGTTCTATTAATTCTTATGTTTTCATGTTGATAAATTCAATAAAATTAGATATAAGTCCTTATGATATGCATTTGTAATAGTTATTGATCGAAAGATGTGAGACAAACACTAATGCATATAGATGATATCATTAAACATCCCACGTCGTAGTATCGTCAATAATGGACATTGCCAATATATGGATAGACTTCGAGTGCTATACTCATGCTATATGATAGCAGTAGAAGATCTCAAACCCGTTGACATGATGATGCCAAAGCAAGCACTTACGTGATTTATGTTAGAGAACATGTCACTCGGATTTGACTCGCCATAAGAATCCATTTGGTTTTCGTCTATAGGAATCTCGTATGAGATGGGTACAAATGATCCTTAAACTTGAAGTTGTCACGATTGTCTCATTGGAGGACTTATGCACTTTGACACTCGTTTCGATAGACCCATTAATGGATTGCACGTGGTCGATTTGTTGGGTGCACTAAAAATTTAATGGAGGTAGATGTATGATTAAGATAGGACATGTCATTTCTTATATGCTAAAGGAGTTATTACATTGCACTTCTATAAACGCACGCTCGAGAAATCTATGACCACGGTATGAGTACACCAATAGAGCATAGTTGGTTTACTCTAAGAGTTAAGACATTTAGGGATCGAAGAAAACTTGTATGATCATAATCGAACAAGAATGATAACTAAGTTTAAGATTACACTATGATAAGTTGACATGAGAAATGAATTGTATGGTAACCATGCTCGTAAAAGGTAATAATGGATTAACTAATCCTCCTAGAGAATTAGATAGTCATGATGTCTTGCTAGAAGCCAATTTTGATTTATGTATCAAGAGATAAAAGAGGAGTTTTTGTTCTTGATACATTGCCAATATATCTAGGAGCTTATTACGTCACAAGCATAAGTTTAAGTGTTCACATTATAAATGAGAAGCAAAGATATTGGAAAACGTTTCCAAGTATGAAAGTTTCCTATTTTGAAAAGGGTTTCCAAAATGCAAACCGTCCTTAAATGAAAAGTTTTCTAAAATGAAAAGTTTACTATTTTAGAAATCTATTTTTCTAATTTGGAAGTTAGTTTCAAATTTAGAAGTAAATAACCTAAAATGAAAATGGGTTTTCTAATTTAGGTTAAAGGGTATTTTTTAAAATTGTTTCCTAATGTAGACCTTGCCTAAAATAATATAAGAATGTTTATTTGGATAGCCCAAATAAAGGAATTAGGATAAAATGATTTTGGCCCATTAGGTTTAATTAAAAGCCTTAAGATATTTTGATGGAAAGATAAACATCAACCTTATTAGATAAGGATGAATGTTTTAAAGATAAAAATTAAACTTATTGGATAAGATTGAATGTTTTAAAGATAATAATCAAATAGTCCACATGTAAAAATAACTCTTCATCCTTAGAGGATAAGAAAGCAACAACCTAGAGTCCTAAAAAGGACTTAATGTTGCCCCTCTCCTTATCCTTGGAGGACAAGGAAACTCTTCTCCTATATAGGAGGAGAGGTGCAGCATAAAAGGATGATGAAGAGTGAGAAAATATTCAGCCAAAAATAAAGAAAAGGGAGAAATAATAATTTCGGCCAGCCTTAAAAATAAAATAGGGCACACGGCCAAGAGAGAAAAATAGGGAGAAAATAGTTTTCTTTTAAACCTTAGCAAGATATACTCCTTCCTTATCCTTTAAGGTTGTCACAAAATTGCCCGTGATTGATTTTTATAAGAAATACTAAATGAGAAAAAGGTGGAGCTAGCACTCCATTGATTTTGAGTGCTTTTTTGTGGATACTTAGATTGCATGGATCATCAATAGAGGTCGGACATTTGGATGACTTTTTGAAAAGGAATTTAGATTTACACTATAAGAGGTAATCATTGATCTTTGCTTAAAATTCATGTCTTTATGATTAGTAGATTCAACGACTTGATCTTGGGCCCTTAGATGGAGGAAAATTTTTGTTTATTCCATACATCCATAGGATGCATGATCCTTCAATTGGTATCAAAGCCATTGTTGAATCTTTGATTAAATACATGAATTAGCTATACCCGATTATAAATCTTGTGTTTTTGATATTTTATATAAAAACAAAACTAAATTTTGAGTTAAAATCGGTAGGAGCACGCGAGGTCGATGTTGGACGTCGATGCTCGCGCGCGTAACAACCCTAGTGATCGCTACTCTTTAGACGCGTAACGGTTAGGCCAGCGAGGTTGTATGCTAGGCTCTATATGCCCGGCTACTTGAGCTACACACGTTCATTAGGCATTACGTGCCGGGCGTGCCGGCTTGAAAGCTCGTGCGCTATATACGCGGGAAGCGTGCCTACTAACCCGACACGCCTCGAGCTAGGCACGTGTATGACAACCTTATTAATCGCTACTCTTTAAGCACGCA